AGTCTCACCTTAAATATTTGTCCAGAAAGCACTTTGAACTATAAAAATCTCCATGAAGGATTTAAAATCAATTTCCAACATCAACAATAAGATTTGAAACTAAAAAACTAGTACAGATCTTGTGGATCTATGAACACTTATTTTTAGCATGAAAGGACCCGTCCAGATAATTTGTTACAATATATTATTTTTAGAGCTTAAAATCTTTTTTTTTTTCATAACCATAATGTTGACATCGACATGTGATGTAAAGGCTTTTCAATGCTTGAACTGTAATTTTCGGTGGCTTTTCTTATTTTAATAAGATTATAGCCTTATAAAATTTATTCCTGAAAATCTATTACAAAAAAAATAAAATACAATAAAATATTACATTTATAGTATTTAAGTATGCTCAATGATTCGAAAATGAAAATAGATTATCCAAAATTTCCCCAAAACACTGTAATCAATTACGCACTAACCGCATCATCTTCTATCCCGAAGCTCCAAAAAACACACCAGCTAGCAGAGCAACCGTTGGTCTCTCTCCTCAAGCTTCAGAGACCATTGTAGGCAGAGCAACCATCAGTAGAGTGACTGTGAAACCCTACTCCCACTCCCTGGTAAGCCCTCTTCCTCCCCGGTAAGAAACTTGCTTGAACTCTTCAATCAATTGCTTCTATGCATTCCTTCGAGCTAATTCAAATTCAAACCCCTATTTTATTTCATTGCAGCCATTTGATTTGTAGAAAGCCATGAATTACATTGATCCGTGTTTTGGAAATATACGTGACAAAAATGTGTTCTATATTTCTAATTCCACATTATCCATGCTTTCATTTTCTGTTATGTTTAATTTTATTTTTTTGTAAAAACAAATTCCCAATTCAATTCCAAGTTCGATTATTTTGTTTTTATTGTTTGATTTACTGGGGCTTGATGATTGAATGTCTTCGAGCAATCAAGGCAATTGAAAACATGTTGAAACAAATATTTTAATTTGAATTTTGATCTCTTCTACATAAGCATATTTCTTCTATATGAGCATAGATTAATTAAAATTTGTTGTTATTTCCAGTTTTGCTTGCCACTCTTGGAGTTCCATTTTGGACAATATGATATATTATCGAAGCAAAGTGTGTTGATTTTTGTGGAACAGTAGTTTAATGGATGTTAGGTTGCTTTCTGTCTCTTCTCTTCTAGCTTAAATCACAATTTCCCTTATATACAGTTGCGATAAGGAAATGACTTATGTTGTTGTAAGGTAATGTCTAACACATGTATGTCATAATGTCTTGAAAGATAATTATGTCTGTAAATCTATTGTGTTAATTGAGGATCACCAGTTTTTACGGTGCTTTCTCTTTAGAATTTGAAACATAAGAGTGTAGAAAATAGAAAAACATCTTTCCCTATCAAAGCTGGGGCCATTCTTGCAAATTTCAAGGTATATGAAATGCAATTTTAATGGAGGCTCCTGCTTGAAATATCTTTTGATTTGCTCTCTCTTTTTTGGTAGGAGTTGATCTTTGGAATTCCTTATGTATGCTCCATGAAAAATCCTTTTGCTAATTATTGTGAAAAATAAATAAAAATGTGGATATTACCTCCACATTTTAAAAATCAAAGTAGTTTGAATTGATATTTTATACTAAAAAGGAAAAAAAAAGAAAAACCCACATTACTATAGATAAAACTAACACCGTATTTTCTAGTCAAATAGTAGTAATGTATTTCTCAAGTAGCATTTAGATGCTACCAAAACAATGACAATCTTTTTGCAGATAATGTGTTACGTCAATAATGTATTACGTTTGTAGCATATTTTTTAAACAATATATTTTCAAGTACCCAAATAATATATGAGTGTTCAAAAAGGATTAACCTCTTTTGACCAGATGCTGATGCATACTTCTCTAGTTTTGATTGTAGAAAAGCATGAATGAGCAAATGAGAAAAATGCCCCTACTACATCACATAATTTTTTGAATAGCGGGAATTCTTTGGACATCTAAAGAACTTTTTTTTTTATGGTGAGGTTTGTAAATTTATTCATTAAATGCTTTAACTGGTGACAAATGTACTATATAAATTTATTCATTAAATACTTAAATGTCGAACCAAAAAAAAAAAGCAAGGCACGATTTTTGCTTTTAACTATAGTACGGTGACTATGGTCACTCCATAATTATGGTTAAAGTTCTATAAATTTTATTAATTGAAAAGAGGCCGGTAGAAATTTGGGTTTCACATCTCTATGTTTACAATTTAGAGAGAGAGAGAGCAGAGGAGAAGAAAATAGGGCTAGGCTCATAGTCTTTAGGGTTTATGGTTTACAGAGAGAAGAAGAAGAAGGAAGAGAAGAAAATAGGGTTTGGCTGATAGTCATTAGGGTTTATAGAGAGAAGAAGGAAGAAGGACGAAGGACGAGTTCATCGGCATCACAAACTTGATTTTTTAGAGAGAGAAAAAAAAGATGGGATGCGAATTTGGAACAGTTTGAAGGAGATTTTTCTCTCTGATTTGGGATGTTGTTTGAGAGAAAGCGCTAATTATACTGATTTGTGAAGATGCCCTAATTGATTTTTAGAGAGAAAAAAGGAAGAGGGTTTTTCATTTTCTTGGAAAATAGCAAGTACCGCTGAACAATTAGATTTGGGAACCAATCCTATATGTACAATTGCTTGTTCATGTAAGTTTACAGTTTACGTTTGCCTTTGTTATCACATAATAAAAAACAAAGATTGATTAATTGGTCGCGTAGTCACACTCTCTTCTTCTCATTCATTTGTAAAAGGCTATGTTTTGGGCTCTAATTTGTGCCATAAACAGTGTTTTCATAAAAATAATTATCACAAATAATTACAGAAATCTGCATGTATATGATTTTCTTTATTCAATGATTTATTTTACAAAATGATTTGCTATAAACAGTATTTCATATACACAATGATTTTCCATAATAACAACTAAAATCTGCATCTATTTATTTAGATTTTAAAAAAAATAAAAATAAATTAATACATTCAATATGCAATTGTGGCTTTGAAAAACACAGTAGGGATAAAAATTTCTATTTTATGTTTTTTTTTTTAAAATAATATTTTTTAAAAAAAAACATGAAAGGAGCAATGGTTGCAATAGACAAAACAGAAAAATAAAAATAAAAATAAAAAAAATAAAAATCTTTCAAAAGAGAATATATGTAAAAATAGGTACGATTTTTTTGCCTGAATTAAATCCTATTATGAAAGAAAAGGGCGTTTTAAACATTATTAGGAAAAAGTAAGATATTTTTTCTGACCTTCTCAAAAAAGTTGCCGTTTAAAACTGTTTCCATAAAAACTCCTATTTTTTGAAATAATCGCCGATTGAACGGAGATTTTATAAACAATGGTTTCACCTTCAAAGTTTGAGACTTTATATAAACTTTTCCTTCACCCGCCACTCTCTCTCTCCATTTCTTCAGGCCCTAGCTCTCATTTGTCGCCACGAGCTCTTATATCGTTCTCTGGTCTCTCTTCAAATCCATTTGGGGAGGAACCCGCAAATGTTCGCCATTAAAGCCAGGAAACTGCTTGGAGAGGTAATGTATAGTTCAAGCATCCATCTCTCTCTCTTATTCATGTTACCTTTTCTCAAGGATTAGATGTAATCAGATTTTTATTTTCTATGAGCTCCAGTGATATTAGAAAATATTTGGTATCTATAGACGAATGCATAAATGTCAAAATCTTACTGCGTTCTAGGGTTTGAATTATCAGTTTTACTGTGTTCTAGGATTGAATAGTCAATCTTGCTGTGTTCTAGGATTTGAATAATCGATCTTTTGCATTTGATACTGTTGATCGTAATATTGTATGATCTTAGTGTACATAGTTTATTTGTTTGAGTTGATTTATTGTGTAAAAATCGGATTCTGTTTCTTAAGACCTTTATTTATAAATGACAAAACGGGATTGTAATTTGAGAAATTTAGATGCCTAAACAGAACCAGAGGTCCTTATGGAGATTTTGCTGGGCATCAGAATATCAAATCCAACATTGCAAAACTGGGTTTGAAACCAAAATTTTCCAAGCTCTTGATGTAGCAAAAAATGAAAATGTTGGAATTTATGGAAAAAGACATTTTTTAAATTTGGATTTTTTTTTTTGTTTTTTTTTTTAGTTAACCTTTTTCCTAAAAAAAAAATTAGATTTTTTTTTCTCTTTCTGTAATGGTATATGGATTCTTTTAATATAAATACGTTGGATTGTTTTTGGCTGAAAAGAAAACTTAAATTTTGAGTTTGCAAGAGTAGAATCTGGGGACGAAACCAAAATTTTGATTGAAGAATAACTGAAATATTGGTGTCATATGTTCAATGCAATCCAAATATGTGTACCATTCTGAGATTCTAGAACCACCAAAGTATGTGAGTTGGGATTGAATGTTCCTTTTACACCTGTATTGAAATTACTGCTATAATCCATTCACAAAATCAAGAATTTTATTGTTATCTGGAAACTTTGCCATTTCACCAGTCCGATACGTGGTAAAAGGTGAGATTTCTCAGGTATTTTATGTTGAGCAACTTCTTTGTTTGGTGCCTGTAACTACTTCACCTAAGCTTGTTCCTATAGCTTGAAAAACTCCGTGTTAGTTCGAGAAAAACCATTTGTTTGAAGTCATGTTCCATCATTTGAGAAATTCTATCCAAAACAACCATGTCGTTGAGAAAACCACACCACACCCCTGAACAGAATCTCGCGATTCCCATGATCAACTGGATAACTGTGAAATGTCATAAGAGCTATCTTGTGAGCAATGATTGATCATTTGACAGAAGCTCAATGCTAGGATATGGGTGCCTCAAACTTAGAAATTGTAGCAATTGTTGTCCTGCATGCGGTGGGAGGGACTGGGGGAGGTGGGCATGATTTCACCATGCTGAATCTTTGTATTCTTTTCAGTGGATGCAAAGAGACAGGGCCATCTTTTCATTCACTATCCAGCGGTAGGGTGTCTATGGAGCCAACTGCACAACTATTTGGGGAGCAACGTATTGCCCTAGGAACCATAGTACAGCCATCCTTGGCCTACTTTTCTCCTCTATTTCCAAAGCAGGCTTGATCCTTCAAAGTGTCATGATCATGGCCCTCATGTGGAATGTCTGGTTAGAACGTAACAGGACTTTTGATGGCAAGGGGTGAACCATTCAAAGCATCAAGGAGAACATCAAAACTGTGGTTTTTGAATGGGCAAGACCACTCAAATGTTTATAGTAAACTTATTAAAAAAAAAAAACGACCACTCTTTTATGCGGAACTGGGATGCCCTAGCCAGAGCTGGTGGGGCTTCCAACACTAGGTCGTTTCTATGGCAAACTTCTGAACCAGGCACCATCAAATTCAAATTTGATGGAGCTTACTGGGAAACCTGGGAAGGGCAGGAGTGGGAGGTATCTTCAAGGATAGCCAGGGCCCCTATGATCCTATCCTTTTCTTTTTTTCCGGGCCCCACTGGTAATACTAAGTTTACCATGACTGTGGCTCTTATGTTTTTACAGGAACGCAAATTTTTTGACAGCAGCTGGGGCAAGTCACTGACTGTCGAGGGGGGTTCTAGAAACACTATTAACTGGGCTAACAGGGTCTCTACAAGCACTTGGGGAGAGGATCACATATTTGAATAAATTTTTGCAATTAGATGCTTATTGTTTTACTCAAATGTCACGTTCCACCAAATATGGCAGCTTCCATTATATTTGGTGAGAGAGTCAGACTAACAGCATAGCAGATAGCTTGGCTGAACAGGGGCCTCTATATACATACTGCCTAAGTGCTTAACCCTTGCTGAATTCTGAAGCTATCTGCAAGTCTTTCGTTCTTCCAGACTGCTCCGCCATTTTGTGAGACTGTGCAGCCCTTTCTTCTTTGGGATGTCTATCACTTATTTTCTTAAACAGTATACACAATCTACTGTAGATTGTAAATGTAACACACGTTTCAGAAAAAGAGAAGCGAAGATTAATATTTCAAACAATAGATAAATAAATAATAAATCAAGTCATTCCAATGTTTTGATGATTTACATAAGGAGGCCTTCACCTTTTTCTACTGAGTGGAGAAGGAGAATTCTCACCCTCCCTTGTTGATGTGGGACAAAGAGCCCATATGATAAAGCTAACACAAACAAAGGAAAAACAAGAGCATAAACCCAAAAAGGAAAATGAAAGCTAAAACTATCTTAAACCCCAAGTACTTGTGGATGCTGTGGTCGACTTTGCTCGTCGGTCCCTTCAGTAGTTGCAAAAGAATCAATGTTGATTAATGCTTCTCCTCTAGAGAAGGGTCTGTTATTCTACATGATTCAATATTGTTCTCTTCTCCCTCTGTCACGCGTCAAGGGACTTAAATCTTTGTCAATTTAACAGTTGTAATTCACATCAAAGGCTTGACTTCTATTTTGCCAAAAAAGAAAAGTAGAGAGGGAATGGAGTCAGGGCATCAGTGGTTAAGGGGGCAGGTGCCTCAACAATCAACATAACGTCCTAGGCTCCATTCCCACCATTAACACTTTGGGAAAAAAAGAAAGAAACAAAGATAGAGACCTCAACTTTCAAAGAGAACTTGTTAAGATTCTGATTCCCGAGTCCAAACTATCGAGATCAATTAGAGTCTGTGTTATCTGATGTATTGACTGTCAGTTGCCTTCCATGCTTCATTCTTTGTGATTTTAGGGTTTCCTATGGAGACATTATTTTGGGGTGGCTGTGAAGTCTTCAAAGAGAGAAAAGAAGCTTGCATATGACCATAAGGTATGCCAATTGCTGGATCAATACAACCAGGTTCTAGTTGCAGAGGCTGATAATATAAGATCCAATCAATTGCAAAATGTTCGCAAGGGAGTCAGCCAGGATTCAGTGGTGATAATGAGCAAGAACACTGTGCTAAGGCAAACCATTAAGGCTCATGCTGAGAAGACAGGAAACAAGGCCTACTTAAATCTCATTCCTCTTCTTTATGTGAGCCTTTAGCGGTTATTTATTTATTTTCCAGTTGTTTTACTCCATGTTCTTTGGCATTTATGGCTAGGATAAGTATATACAATGGAGTAGGTATAAAAAGAAATATTTTCTTTCTTCTTGGGCAACGGGTCAGAGATAGAGAGAAGGGGTAGCATCAGAACTGCTTCTTGGTTACTGGTTCCCTCTGAGAGAGAGAGAGAGAGAGAGAGAGAGAGAGAGAGAGAGAGAAATCGAAGACGTGTCGTTCGTTGGTACGTAGGTTAGTTAGAGAGGAGGACGGTACGTGTCGTTTCGGTTCGGGTAACCGGTATTCGTAGTTAGGAAG